TACAATAACACCAGAACAAACCGGTAGCACGATATCTGAAACCACTACTACATTCTCAACTGGCACTGGTACCACTACAATAACACCAGAACAAACCGGTAGCACGATATCTGAAACCACTACTACATTCTCAACTGGCACTGGTACCACTACAATAACACCAGAACAAACAGGTAGCCCCATGTCTGAAACAACTACTACATCTTCAGCTGGTACTGGAACAACAACCATAACACCAGGACAAACGGGTACCACGATATCTGCAACAAGTACGACGTCTTCAACAGGCACTGGTACCACTACAATGGCACCAGAACGAACAGGTAGCACGATATCCGAAACAACTACTACGTCTTCAACTGGTACCGGAACAACAACCATAACACCAGAACAAACGGGTACCACGATAGCTGAAACAACCACTACATCTTCAACAGGCACTGGTACCACTACAATGACACCAGAACAAACAGGTAGCACGATCTCTGAAACAACTACTACATCTTCAACAGGCACTGGTACCACTACAATGACACCAGAACAAACAGGTAGCACGATATCTGAAATAACTACTACGTCTTCAATTGGTACGGGAACGACTACAATAACACCAGAACAAACGGGTAGCACGATATCGGAAACAACTACTACATCTTCAACTGGCACTGGTACCACTACAATAACACCAGAACAAACGGGTACCACGATATCTGAAACAACCACTACATCTTCAACAGGCACCGGTACCACCACAATGACACCAGAACAAACAGGTAGCACGATATCTGAAACAACTGCCACATCTTCAGCGGGTACTGGAACAACAACAATAACACCAGAGCAAACGGGTAGCTCGATATCTGAAACAACTACTGCATCTTCAACAGGTACTGGTACCACTACAATAACACCGGTACAAACAGGTAGCACGATATCTGAAACAACTACTACGTCTTCAATTGGTACTGGAACAAGTACAATAACACCAGAACAAACAGGTAGCACGATATCTGAAACAACTACTACGTCTTCAATTGGTACTGGCACCACGACAATAACACCGGAACAAACAGGTAGCACGATATCTGAAACAACTACTACGTCTTCAACTGGCACTGGTACCAGTACAATAACGCCAGGAGAAACGGGTAGCACGATATCTGAAACAACTGCTACGTCTTCAACTGGTACTGGTACCACTACAATAACACCGGCGGAAACAGTTAGCAAGATATCTGAAACAAGTACTACATCTCAAATTGGTACGGGAACAACAACCATAACACCGGAACAAACAGGTGGCACGATCTCTGAAACAACTACTACCTCTTCAACTGGTACCGGAACAACAACCATAACACCAGAACAAACTGGTACCACGGTATCGGAAACAACTACTACATCGTCAACAGGCACTGGTACCACTACAATGACACCAGACCAAACAGGTAGCACGATATCTGAAACAACTACTACATCTTCAACAGGCACTGGAACCACTACGATAACACCAGAACAAACCGGTAGCACGATATCTGAAACAACTACTACGTCTTCAATTGGTACGGGAACGACCACAATAACACCAGAACAAACGGGTAGCACGATATCGGAAACAACTACTACATCTTCAACTGGCACTGGTTCCACTACAATGACACCAGAACAAACCGGTAGCACGATATCGGAAACAACTACTACATCTTCAACTGGCACTGGTTCCACTACAATGACACCAGAACAAACCGGTAGCACGATATCTGAAACAACTACTACGTCTTCGATTGGTACTGGAACAACTACAATAACACCAGGACAAACAGGTAGCACGATATCGGAAACAACTACTACATCTTCAACTGGCACTGGTACCACTACAATGACACCAGAACAAACCGGTAGCACGATATCTGAAAAAACTACTACGTCTTCAATTGGTACGGGAACGACTACAATAACACCAGGACAAACAGGTAGCACGATATCTGAAACAACTACTACGTCTTCAATTGGTACTGGCACCACGACAATAACACCGGAACAAACAGGTAGCACGATATCTGAAACAACTACTACGTCTTCAACTGGCACTGGTACCAGTACAATAACGCCAGGAGAAACGGGTAGCACGATATCTGAAACAACTGCTACGTCTTCAACTGGTACTGGTACCACTACAATAACACCGGCGGAAACAGTTAGCAAGATATCTGAAACAAGTACTACATCTCAAATTGGTACGGGAACAACAGCAGTTACACGAGAGGAAACCGGGAGCACGTTGTCGGCGATAGCTGGAATTTCATCGGGTGGAACGGCAACTTTAACGTCGTACCTGAACTTAAGTAGTACGGGTAGCGGGTCTGAAGTAACTACTATATCGAGTTTTCCAGGTGTAAGTTCAACATCCTCGACTAGTAGCCCAATTTTCGTGTCGACCTCGACAACAACTCTGTCGACGTCTAGTACTACTAGTACTACGACTACGGTTGTTCTAACTGGTAAGTCGGTTGAATTATTCGGATGTGAAGCTTGAGTTGATATTGCAGCATGATTAAAGATAGATTAGTCGTTTTTTTTTGTGTTTTGTGTCTTCAGTTCGATTAGGTATTAATTGCAGTGCATGTTTTTTTTAGACTGTAGTTTCAGGGAGCAAATCGTATCGGATTGTGTCATCGATGGTAATTCTTCTAGCGTTTGCAACAGTACGACTAGGGGAACGCAAAATGTAGAAAGGACTTGGACGTGTAACAATGGTAGTAGTTATGTGGAGTCCTTAACTGTTGATTGTGTTCCGGCTTGTCCAGGTTGGTTGAGTCATCTGTTGGAGAAGTATTTCTTTTTGAATGCATTAGATGTTTGTTTATGAGTAGTGAGTGGCGTTGTTTTTAATTCCACCGCAACAGCAATCAATCTGAACATGCGTGTAACCCCCGTACCTCTACCCTTTTCTTACCAATACACGGATGATTCAAAGTCTTACAAGGTGCTTTGGGTAAGAACAATGAATATTTGATTTACCAGTTGTTGATTTTCTCCTGTTTCAGGTAACTGATAAAGGCTATTTAACGTTAGATAAACCCCTTTACGCTGTCGAGCCATCTGAAACCGAGTTATCGAATATTCCATACATTGCACCGTTCTGGACAAATCTCGTTTATGTAAACCGTACAATTATTCAGGTGAGTCATACTAGTATATGATGGTGTGCTTTACTCTTGTTTTATTGATTTGGTTTCATCAGCCGACCATTTATACTGGATTGTCTTCTGACAGCCCTGAATGGGCGACAGTATTGGACACTGTGGCCAGCGTGAAGGACAGGGCGATTAATGAGGAAGCAGCAGTGTATCGTGTAGTCAAAATACGATGGGAAAACCTATTGACAAAGATTGATGGTGGTACTACTGGAAGAGCAGCTTCAGGTTTCGAGGTATACAGAGTAGTGCATTTTTTAATTAGCTTATAGTTTCTTTTATCCTAGAATATTGTATTCGACGCATATTTGATGAATGGACCTGGGAAAGACTTCAATGTTTGGAATTCGTATCTTCGATTTGAATACACGATCGATACGTCTATTGTAACTCCTAATTATCAGCCGGTCGTTATTGGTAAGGCTATCAGAATTAGAAATCCGTCTGTTTTTTTGTTTTCAACAGTTTTCTTTTCTTCAAAGGTTATCATACTGAGAGTGCAAAATCGCATAAGTCTAGTGTTTCATTCACAAATAAGATTACTGATTTCATTAACGGTAAGTTTTGTTTTTTTTGTTTGTAAAAAGTAATCAATGTTTCTTTCTAGTTACTGGAAAGGTACGAACATATTTTCTAAGTTCGAAGTTATTGAGTAAATGTGAAGCATGGTATTGGCAAAAGTACACGGATATTTTATTCAAACGATCGATAAATCTAACGTATGACAATTTTGCTTTGAATTAATTTAAGAGGCTCATATTTATTATTAGAACTGTCAAACGGAACCCATGTCCTTGTTCATACTATCAAGCTTTATCAGATTTTCGATTTTATAAATTAAATAGTGAAAATCGTTTAGAACAAACTTATAACATATCATGTTTTGTTCCGTTGAGCGGTTTTGCACAACGAGCCTCAAATGCACTATCTTATCAACAAGTGAATAAATTTGAGAAAAAAGTATTTGTTGCTTCATTTAATGTATCATTTAGACATGTTGTTACGATACCAACGAAGCATCTCTAATTACGTCTGGTCCATTTGCTGGATCTGTTCTTGATGCGTCAGCATTAGAATCATTACGATATAAAAGAAATCGGCCACAACGCATCAAAGAACGGTAAAAGCATTTCGTTTTTTTTTTGTTGTTGTTTTGACTTCATTACATTTTTGATAATTTATTTCATTTTAGGGATGACTGTTGTATAGCAAGAAATGGTACAGTTGATTGGTCGAGCTGGTGTAATTTATATTATGAAATTAGACCACCAAGTATATGTGATGGTTATGAACCACCGTCACAAGGTAGATTATTGAATGAGCTATATTTTAAATTTAATCTAAATTGTTTCAGCTTGGTTCGGTGGTGATCCACATATACTAACATCTGATAATAATGGTTATAGTTGTAATGTATTTGGTTCGTTTATATACGCTGAAACAACGAGTGATGCAAATAGTACAGCTAATAATAATATGAGCACAGGTTCAACATTTCTAAAACCTTTACAAAACAATGAATTATTTTCAATTATTGCTCGAACAAGTAAAACTCCATCACGTTTGCGACTCGATCAATTTTTTAACCAACAAATAACTTATTTTTCATCATTTTCAATGTATCTTGGATCAAATCGTGATGTAATAATTGATGTTGATATTAATTCAACAAATAGTTATCAATTCAGTAAGAAATATTTTATAATAAATCATTCAGTTAACTATAATTATCTTTCTTTTGTTTTGAAAAAAAATATTTAGAAGTAAACTACTTACTTAAAAATGAAAATAGATCAATAAATCCATTCACTACACAATATGATCTTGTTGAATATTACTATTATCCAACATCATTAAATGATTCATCAGAATTTGCATTTTCAATAAGTAAAGAAAACCAAACAATAACAGCAATTAGTTGGAATACATATAGTTCAAACAATAAAACTCTACCAGTACAAATTCAAGTACCAAAATTAACTATATCGATTTGGTCTGGTAAGTTAAGATTAGAGATGTACAGAGTAGAATAATTCTGCACATCTCAAGTTAAAATTTTAATTTTGACAATGTTTTTTTTAATTAATTCTAAACAGGCTTAGCTATGCAATGTTACGTTATAACAAATAATATGGCATGTACATTATTATTACCACAAAAATATTATGGTAATGTTCGAGGTCTTGCTTTTGGTGTTAGTACAAGCGATTCAAGTCAATATTGTGCTAATTGTATGTATTACTAAGACAAAATTTTAGCTGTCTTGTTTAAATAAGAAATTCTTTATTATTTTTTTTTTTTTATTCAAAGATTCACTTGTACCAAATGAAACTGAACAACAATCATTAACAAGTACTAGTGTTTTACAATGGTTTAATACGGCTGCGTCTATTTCATATCAAAGTTATATAAATAATTTGGCATGTCCAATGAATAAAACATCGTCAACATACTATTTTTGTTTACAAGATACACTTCTTTCTCAATCACCTCTATTAGGACAATTAACTGTGAAAAGTTCAACTGATTACCAATCAGCGAATTTGTTTCTTAGTAATAAACATACAAACACATAGTTGATATATTAATTGGTTCTCATTTTTATTCGTTCTATTTTTCAGGTAAAAATCCTCCAATAGTGACATTACAATCTCCAGCATCATTTAATACTCCATATACATATTTCCTAACAATACGGCATAATGATACATTTAAAAATCAAACAAATGCTACTATAAATGTGATAATTGATCGAAATACATCCATTAATGTTCAAATACGTGATTCAAACACTAGTGTTCCAAAAGATTGTACCAACCAAGGTTCATTTTACTCTTGTCCCTTTGCATATACAAACGAAAATAGAAACCAAATTCAATTAACGTATGTATCATTAAATTTTCAAAAGTTTTTGATATCCCCTGTTCTTCTGGAAATTTTTAACAATAATTTGCAAGTCGTCAAACTATACTCAAGATATGCTCGTCAACATTTATATGGACTCATGTAGGACATCAGCTAATATTGTTAGGAGCCTGAATAACAAAACGACAATGCGTAGATAAAGGCGAAAGGATCCTGGAAGGATCAAGACAGCAGCCAGGAATAGTATCTTATAGAGTTCTATAAAACTTGTGCCGAATGTCATATTGTCACTACTCATGTCTTCTAAATATAGATATGGGCAAGATGATCGCAGATCCAGTTCCACCAGGGCCGAGACTAGGCAGCAGCTTTCAGGATTTTTCTATAAATCCCATTGTACAATAAATGTTCAAATGGAATGAAACGGACTAAAGATTTTTACCTGTCTAAGAATAACGACGAGAATGACACTTGGCGATGGATGAAGGCTGATCCTGCAGAACTAGGACTTTCTTTTCGTACAGTTAAACTGTATTGCATAAAGATTAAAAAAAATACAAACTTTAAAGAACAATTAAATAACTATAAAGTACAAGATTAGCTAATATTATTGTCTAAAAATAGTAGATCATGGCTGGATTGATTCGACTGAATTCAAATATTCATAATTTAATTAATAGAAATATAACATATTAATCTTTTAGCGGATGTTAAATCTCATAGTCGTAAAGTAAAATTAAACATAGCCTATCAACTCAAATTTAATTAATATTTTCTCTTTTTCATATCGTTGATTTAATGAGATAATTAAGACTATTTTTTATCTTTGTCTAAGAAATATTCGAATAGTAAACATATCTATATGTATAGGTTCTATTGATTATTTTCATTTTATGACAATTGATATTAAAATATTTATTTTAAATTTAAGAATTATTGCAAATGATATATTGAATACTTTAACAACTTATCAAAGAATTCAATTAATTGTTAATGAATGTGTTAATGGTCGAGCAATATGGAATAATCCAACTATTTTATCATCAACAGTTAGAGTTTTATTTTGTATATGTGATGAATATTATGTTGGTATGTAATGAAACATATATAAGAATAAAAATAAACCAAGTCTATTTCATTTCTCATTGTAGGAGACTATTGCGAGAAACCAGTTGGTTGTAGTGATATGACTGCTTGTGTATTAAATTTTCTTCCAAGTATAACTTGTACGACTAATAGAACTGAAATATCAATAAATTCTACACAAACACCATATCAATGTATAAATAACATAACATTGATACCTTGTTCGAATGATTCAGCATGTTGTAAACAAGGTTATCAATTTCACAGTGATGTACAACAATGTTTATGTATGTATCAAAATTATTCTATTTAAAATTAAAATTTTTCTTCTTTCTGTTCTAGTTCGACCAGTTTGTAATGAAACAATATGTGGTGCAAATAATATTTGTCAAAATACTGAATTAAAACCTAATGGATATATTTGTATGTGTAACGATGGTCAAATTTTCGATGGAACAACATGTATTCGTATGTATTTGTTTTTTGATGAAAGTTATTCAATAAAAATCATATTTATTTTCAATAGAAAAGAAAATTTGTAATGATGCATCATTATATCCAAATGGTATTTTACCATGTACAGGAGCATTTGAACAGGGTATTGATTCAGGAAATCAATGTATATGCCAATGTCGATTAGGTTTCACAAATTCGTCAAATGTTTGCATAAGTAGTAAGTTATTTAAAATAAAATTAGAAGACAAGTAGATTATTTTTTGTTCTACATTGAATAGCATCAACAAATATAACGTGCAATAGTACGACTAATGTTTGTTCTAATAGTTCAATATCATCAAATGTTTTCTGTCAATATCGAACACAAACTTACAATACTAGTACCAATACATGTCAAAGTAAGACTTAAATATTTCATATATTGATTAAACTTAATATAAATATTTTTTAAGACACTTTTTGTTTAAACTATTGTCAAAATGGTACCTGTTCCGTTGGTGCACAAGGATATACTTGCAGTTGTCGTCCTGGAACACATCTTGATTATGCATTAAATTGTGCTGGTAAATAAAAAAGATATATAATTATTGAATATATAAATATGATAATATTTATTATTTAGTATGTGAAAGTGGAGTAGCTGGTCCTAATTGTTCATTACTATGTGATTGTGAATTTGGACAATGTAACGTTAATGCAACAAGTGAAACAGATAAATGTTCATGTGCATCTGGTTACACAGGTTTAAAATGTGATCAATATATTAACTATTGTGATCCACGTATATCATTAAAATTAACACTCTATTTATTAAATATTGTTTTATTTTTATTTTTCGTTTAGAAAACGATACGTGTAATAGCGTTGCAACAAATCGTGTTTGCAAACTTACACCAACTAATCATGATAGATATAAACAAGAGAACGCTTATGAGTGTCCTTGTAAAACTGGATATCAACAAGTACCAGGAACTGATAATTGTATAGGTATTAGTTTTTAAAATAAAACGAAAAACAAAAAAAAGAAAGATGTTCATTGTGTTTGTCATAGATATTGATGAATGTGCTGTGGCTTCTACAACAGAAAATATTTGTTCGGCAGATACGACATCATGTCATAATTTAAATGGTTCATATAGCTGTGCTTGTAATTCAGGTTATGTAAAAGATAATTCAACAGTAAATAAAAAAAATTCATTTGCATTGTATTTATATAAAATATTCATTTTGTTTTTATTTTTAAGACTACTGATGCATGCGTTGATGAAGATGAATGTACAACTGATGAATCTGCATGTGAATCATATACTAATTCCTATTGTGTTAATCTTAGACCATATTTTGAATGTCGTTGTCGTGTTGGTTATGCACCAGATGGTAAAATTCCTTTTTTTGGTTTTTTTGAAAAAGAAAAAGAAATTTCTATTAATAAATTTAATTTATTTTAAGGTGATTATAATCAAATGTATGCTGCTTTGAAAGATAATCAAACATGTAAAATTTATAATAAATGTGCTGCAAATCGTATTGATTGTGGTGGTGGAATATGTGTTAATAATACAAATTCAAATGATTTGTTACCTACTTGTTATTGTAATAATTCATTAATACTTATTCAATTATTGGTAGGAAAATATGATTGTATTTGTCCATCTAATACACATTATTATAATGGAGGAGTATGTACAATTCTACCTAATCCAGCACTAGGTAATATATTTGTTTGATCAGGATTCGTTTTTCTTTAAATTTATATAAAATATTTTTAACAAAAAAAGGTCTTGTTGGAGAATCAACATTTCTTATTAGAGTCAGTTGTAATAATGGAACTGCTATAATCGATGAAGTAAGTCTTTTTTTTTCTTTTTTATGTTTGAATGTTATTGTATTTTGTAATATTTAAAATAGATAATTAGAAGATTTAATGAAACATTCAAATGGCCATACTACATTACAATTCGAAACAATACAGCAGAGTATGTAAAAACATATTATAAAAAAAAATAATTGAATAATACAAAATAAATATTTATTTTTAATTCAGTTGTGATGAATCGAATCAACAAGATTTAATGTTTGATATTACAACTGATAATAATATAACAGTACAAAATGATGTCTTCGAATTACTTGAAAATATAACAGCAAATCTTAATCTTGACCTTTATAGTGTTGGTAAATGTAGCAATAAAACAGGTACATAATCGTTTTGTATTGAGATAGATCTTATTTTTACGAACTAAATTTTTTGTTCAAATTGATTCTAATATAATTTATAATTTTCTTAAGTCTTACAACAATATCACTTTTAATATTGTCTTATACTGAAAGATTGTATCTATTGATATAATTAACAAATTTGATTTTTATTAAGATATACTATTGTTATATGCTCTAGCTATAAACAATGTACTTTTGTATTTAAGCTTAATTTGAACTACTTTAAACAACTTCAAAATACATTCAGTTACTGAAAGTTACTTCAAAATTTTATAGTAACGGGCGACACATAATAAATGGCTACATTTTGCATTGCATATTTTAATCTCTAAATACGTTTTATCAATAAAAAGCAAAACACATCACAAGATGCAGCATGAAAAGCTCTACAATTTACACAGTGTAGTTTATTGTAATTGTGAAAAAAAAAATCAAAATTCTGTGTGACCAATTTTCGCACGGTGAAAATTTGGTCGCTCAAAATTTTACCCATTTCGAAAACAAAAGTACAACTATACGATAAGCGGTTTTATGCAAATTGTAGAGCTTTTCACGCTGCATCCTATGGTATATTTTGATTCGTAATAAAACGTATTAGATGATAAAAGAATGAAATGCAAAACGCAGCTATTTATTTTGGGTCATCCGTTAAAATTGCTTTCGCACATTCTAAATATTATGATTATAGATCATTTTGTTTTCTGCTAATCAATGATATGACATTAAAAAACTAGATCTTCATCAAATTTATTTAACCAGATACTCAGTCGACTAATCAGATTGTGATTGATGCATGTCTTTAAAAAAATAGCCTAATGAATATAAGACAAAAAGCAAGTTATAAAAATACTTGATTAAGCTATTTAAAAGAAATAAGGCAAAGAAGAAACATATAGACGATCCTAGAAGGAATATCGTACTTCAAGTTGAAAAAAATTTTAAAAGACTTTTCCATGTATTGGACTACTTTTGTATTTTGATGTACTCTTCGATTTGAAGTACATGGTTTTCTTTTAGTACATACTACATAAAACAATGCATCTTACTTGAACAGCACTAATGCAAATGTACCAGTGATAATTATGCAAATACATATACTTTTCTGTATGTTACTCGATTCTCAAAAGTACATACTATAACAATTTAGCGAGTAAAATAGAATAGCAAGAATATTGCATTCTTCGTACAATAAACAGATCATAATCAATATATTTAGAGATTATTTTTGTCTTTTGAATGACTTTTTTTCTACTGAAATGAATTTCGCTAAAATTTTGTTTGATAATTATTTTTGCTTTTATATTTAGAATTAGTAAAAAATGTCACATCATGTTATTTAATTGATTTATGTGCTCTATGTGGTGGAGATATAAAACGTGGTGTATGTTTACCAGAAACTGGTTTAAGTAAATGTCAATGTTTTCATAGTACTGATTCATTAAGACCGTACACGGGTGAATTTTGTTATCCCGCAGAACCTACATTAACATCATCTTCACGTTGGATACCAATTGTTGTTGGAGTTTTAGCTGGTCTTGCTGGTTTATTTTGTGCTATTACATGTTGTCTATTGGCTTTAGCTGCTTGGCGTCGTCGAAGACGACATCGCCCTGACGAGTAAGTTTAGTTTTTTTTTTTCTTTTTCTTAAAATTCTTTTGAAAACAACTAATAATTAAATAGTGATGAATTACGAATTCGTCGTATTTGGCATTTACCAAGAGCACAAGTACCAGCAACTGTTACTGCTGAAAATGTTCAAACATATTTAAATAGTGCTGCATCTTCTTTAAAAACAACATCAAGTGTACCTGAAGATTCTACATTAAGTAGTGATCGTTCAACATATCGAACAACTTATGATTACGATCCAAATGGAACTGTAAATAGTGAATTTTTTAAACAGCTCGATCAAAATATGGGTGCAAAATTACGTGCAACAATAGCAAGACCTGATATAAATGCTGTTTTATCAAGTTTACCAACTTTAACAACATCACAATCATTGTCGTCATCAGCATCTATAACATCAAATAGTGACGATCCAATTGATGAACTTGATGCTATTATTGATGATGAAGATATTACAATGACATTTCATGATCCATTAGATGATCTTTTTCAAGATAATGAAATGCTTGAAGTTATTAATCCGAATTTAAAATTACCACGTCCACAAATTGATTCAAAACCAACAGGTCTTTTTTCGGTAAGATATCTTGTTGTTTTTCTTATTCGTCATTTATCTATTATATAATTTTGTTTCTTCTCTTTTTTTTTTTTTGTTTTAGTTTTTTAACTGATATTAATAAAGTGCGGGTCGCTTCAAAAACAAAGTGCTTATTGTGCATATTTTTTCTTTGGTGATATTTTTCACTGGTGATCTTCTTTTGACTTTATTCATAAACACATCTATCTGTTGTGTTTTGTTTTATTATATTACTAATCCCTGTGAATTTAGCACTTTTCACTTTATTTTCAACTCTTCTTTTTGGTTGTAATTTCTTTGATTATAAAAAAAATAACTGTAAGAGAATATAAAGCAAATAAATAATCATTTATAATTAAGAAAATAGTATATATCATTCCATTTTAATTCATCTACTGTTGTTTTATGATTAATAACAATATATACTTTAAGCAAAATTCTATATATATTCGAATGTTATTGTTTGTCTATAACAAACATGTATAATATGCACCATCAGATAAAACTCATGTTACACATGCTGTTCTCATATCAGATTTCGCTTTTCAAAGAATACGTGCTACAGGTAAATTTGGTAAAGGATAAAATGGTTTGATAATCATTAACTTCGTTGACTAATAAACGAAATCGATTATTCATATCAAAAAGTGATATGTTTATAGTTAGATTAGTATCGAAATCAAATACAAGTCATACAGAATCTTCTTTGTCACCAATACTTAATGAATGAATTTCACATCATGGTTTAACTTTTGTTGAAGAAATACTTTCATATATGTCAAGTATATGAGCATAAAGTACCGTTTCATTATTTATTCCAAATGATTTGTATAATATTTCATATATGAGGAACCACTTTTATTTAAATCAATACTCATAACTTCAAGAGCTCGAACAATCGTGGCAGTTTTCCAATTACCCTCAGCTCCAGATCCATAACCATCTTTCATTAACTGTTATACAGCAATTTCGGCTAATTGTCGAAGGCCATGAAGATCCTAACTACGTTGTTGAAAAAATATAAAAAATGTTTGAAAAGAAAGAAAACTAACACATTTACTTCAAATATGCCAGTAAAACCTTTAATTTCCTTTGTCAAGAAATTTTCATAGACCAAGTTGAATTTTAGCTGCTTCTCTTAATAATTGATTTTTTTTCGTTTTTCTAATTCATCAAGTATCCTATATTGTTGTTCATATTCTTGACAAAATTCATCAATATCACTTTCATTAATTTGTTCAATTTCGATTTTTAAATCATCAATACCATGCAAATTTATTGAATAACAAAACTTAAGTTCAGCTTCAATTTTATCATCTTCAATAACAGATACATCGCGCATATTATCTCCAAATCGTGCACCTTGCCAATCAGCCCAAGTACATGCTGTACACATACTCATAATACTTAATTGTTCTCTCGCTGGTCTCCCCCAGTAGAGATATTTGAAAATTATCTGATAAAACTTTGAGATTGTTTTATTCTCATTGAGTATATTTGTTATGATAAAAAAAAAGAATCATTGAACACGAATATATACTGAAATAATGAGTTATTAAAAGGAATTAATTTGACAAAATGTTTGTTCATTTGTCAGTCTCTCGAAAGCGTTTACAGAAATTTGAAGATGTCGAGTTTAAATTAAAATTTTTTGTAGTTTTCGAATATTAGTAAAAATATTTCTCCAGGATTTTTGGTTACGAAATTATGAGTCGACCTATTAGAGGTACAGAAATTAAGTTTGGATGGAGAAAATTGACGTTTTTCTACAGACAATAGTCTTCTCTACTGTAGACGTCATAGTAAAGATGTGTTTTGTATAGGATTAAAGACGAAAATTGTCTCTACGAAGTGATTTAAGAATAAAAAATTTCAGAATAATCATTCAAGAATGACTAAACTCAGTTTGCAAGACTGTTTTTCATAGAAATCATGAAAATTGCCTAAATTGACACAATGTCTCTTACTTGATAGAAACTAGATAGAGAGATTCGGTTTTCACCGTTTAAAAGAGGAGATGAAACTGTATCGAATAGTTTATACCCAGCTATTCTGACAAATTTTCGCAAACTCTCTCGCTTATTTTTTCAAAAAATCTAGGCTTTTGAATAAGTTTATAAGGTGTATTTTTCGTCGAAAATTGAGAAAAAAAGTCAATTTTTTATAAAAAATGTACTCATAACATGCAGTAAAATGTGTATAACTCATGATTGGCTAAAGCTTACAACATACAACATACACAATTTATAGATCTTCAGTTAATGATTCTACTGCACTCCTGAAAATTGAGATCGTAAAAATTTTACATTGAAAAATCTTTCATGTTCAGCAAACTTGATGGTAGACTCTGAGAAAACTCGTTAAAAAAATCTAGTACAAACGATTCAATGCAGTTTCATCTACTCTGTTAAACGGTGAAACCGAACCTCTCTATCTAGTTGCTATCAAAAGTTATTCAAAATATACTCACACTTTTGTTTTTGAAATGATTATTAGTATAGCATTTTGTAGAGAAATAGTTGCTCTTTCGTTGGTTGTATTTGAAACAATTTTCGCTTCTACTGTGAATATATTTTAGCGCGCTAAAAATTCTTGATATTGACCCAATGTTTACAAATTTCTATAGGCTCCTTTTATAGGCCGAACAATGAATGAACATTTTGTCAAATTACTTTTTGATAATCCTTTATATGCAAATAACATCTAAGTTTTTAAAATTTTATTCATTTTGTTTCTCGATGTACAAAATCATTTATAATCAATTGCAGCTAGCCATTATTTGAGATAAGAAAGACAAATTCTCACTTCTAGTGAACATTATTAAGCTGTAATTTGTTTAATAAAATCAGCGGAGATATTCATAATAAAGAAAATAATACATTAATCATTGTTTCTAGTCAATTTTTACAATTTTAATTATATAATAAGCAGCTACCGATAATGTCAAAGAGTCAACATTGAAAGTACGCAATTAAAAAGTGCATGGTTAATTGGTAGGATTTGGAAGTTTTCGATATTTATTATCTACGCCAATTTATTGTCTTTCCTTAGTTAATACTGACAATCGAGATTAGTCTCAAGACCAAAAACTAAATCACATCTAACAAATATCGATCTCTCGGTAGAAATGAATCAATTTTTTTTGGCTTCATAGTGATAGCTTCATCATCCTTTTAGCGTATCTATAGATTTTCACCATGTAAAATAATAAAACTAGTGGTCTGATAGTTCCATATCAAACAATCTCAAAAGAGCTATTCAGAAGCTGCGATTTGTTCAATTACGACATTCATTAAAAAAAAAGTATCGTAAAAGCACAGTATCATGCAGCAATAAGCAAAGAGTATGAATTCTTTTCAGCGTATTCATAGCTCATCTGCATCTCCGTAATACGCAATCTCGCTTCAAAAGAGATTTATAGGTTAGAAGAGTTCCCTCGTAAGTCGATGAATAGCTCTTTTGAAATGATGAAAGAACTTTTTCAACTGAGCAATAGAATTTGAGACCAAAATTATAAGCATTTCACTGGAATTTTCGTTCATAGTCCGATATATACTAACAAATCAAATAATAGTATTTCTATCTGAGATTTTACGCACAGAGAGAGACCTATTTATTAGTAGAATGTCCTGAAAATTTCAATTCAAAAGAAGATTTCCTTCCCGAGACTCTAAAGTTTGAAATATCATTCATATTTCACGAAAAATGCTAAAATTTTCTCGTTGTGGAAACTTTAATATATTAGGAATAAAACATTTTTTTTAAACTGAAATTTTCAGAGCATTCTATTCATGTATATATCTGTCTGAGGGCAAAATCTCAGGCCAAAATATCGTCATTCGATTTGTTGGTATCTACGATAGCATTGGCAAAAATTAGAGTAAGACGCCTATAACTCTGGATAGAAGATCTAAGGGGATTTGCCAGACCTCACTGAGATCTACCACCTTATGCACGGAGTGCGAGTTCAAAAGCCATTTATCAGATGAAAACGTTTCTTCGTGAACTAATAATCAATTCATTCGCAAGAAATTGGAGCTGAGCCTAATTTTTGTTTGGCAAACACTCCCATAAATTGATACGTTTGAGCAATCGTACTTCTGAATACAATTCAACATTAGCAAACTCATCCTGAACGTAACACATGAACGACTCTAATGACATGTTATAATTTTTCGATTAATTTTCATATGTGAATATATGTATGTCCAAGTTTTCTATCTCCATGAGCAATTTGATTTTAATTCATAAAATCTATAGCATTTGTTTTCTATGGTATATCTCAATTAAATTGTGTATGTGAATGAACAAGTGGCTTTTGAAGATTTTTTAAAACCATATATCTACATTTTTGCTGGTAAAAATTTATGCATCCAAAGTATAAGGCCTATACATAATTTATTAAAATTTACCATTTGACATAATTCAACGATTTCTGTTGTTGATTTCAAAACGGATTTGAAATTAATTGATACAAGTATTTGTTCATCTTGAGCAAAAGCTGAAGTTATTTATGATGAATGTTCATCAACTTGATTTAATATTGACGTACCATTAAGACTTTCTGAACCTGTTACAAAACAAATCGGAAATTTTTTTAAAAATCTGGTAACATAATCTTGTTTTATTTCTTAAATGCAATAGTGTGGTGGAAAGAAAACAAAAAAACCTTTTCTGCATGTAAGCTCTTCTCTGTGTAATCAGATAGAATGAAAAGATAAGAAAATAAAGAAATATGAACCCTTAGATTATTTTAATGGTTATCAAAAAGAAGACATAATATTTTCCACTTTGTGATCATGAGACGAAATCATCTCTCGTTGTATTGAAATATAAGCTGTATCTTTTAAAAAATAATTGAAAGATACATAGTTAAAAATATGATCCATATCTTTTTTTTTGAAGACAAATTTTATTCTTGAAATTTCTATTTTTAGTTTCAAAGAATGAAATTTATAATGCTACAAATAATTTCCATTCAGATAGTACCGAAGTGTTTCTTTATACAAACGAAAATCATGACAATTTTCGTTTTCATTACACATAGTAAAAAGCTTTTTGTAGATCATTCGACTAAAGAAACACTTGATATCAATGCCTTCATTGTTTTTTTTTCAATTTAAATAAAAAATTGTGTGAGACACAGTGGAATGCAAATTTACGCATCGTCGCCTTTGTCTTGAATTCGACATTGAACAATTTCTCTATCATTTTAATTTTAGACAATTGAAAGAAAAAACAAATTGTTCATCAAATATAATTAAAGTGGAAGTATGTCAGTTTTCAAATCAACGATTCTACATTGCTTGATTAATATTATTTTCATAGATTTAAAATTATAAGTCTGTCTTCTGAAATGTATAAGTTTTTTGTTTTATTTTTCATATTAAACTCTTCATACATAATATTAACTTATTAGATATTTGATAAAAGAAAAAAAAATGAGCTTTTGAATAGTATTGAAAAAGCATCAAATTACTTTAAAGACAATTATTATTATTAAATGTATGCATGGCACTATCACTGCAATAATTGTGTTTTCTTACTGCTAATTGTACTTTATGCAGAAAAATTTAATTTTTTGTTAAGTACAAAATCTCGCAATTTAAAGAAAACAAAAATATATCGATGTTGAATATAATATGCTTCATTGAGACCAAATGAATGTTTATCGATAATCATAAATGATAACAGTTTACGAATATGAGTATATATATATGTATATATACGCATGCATAGTTAGTTGTTTTCTGATTGGCAAATCTCATGAATCACATATGCAAACATCTAATTGCGATTGGTAGTTGTTTAAAAATGATGTAATCATCTAATACTATTGCAAGATTTATCAACAGAGTTACAACAAGCTGAAATGGTAGAATTCAAAATTCATTAAATTGTATATAAATTCTAAATAGCATGAATACTAGGAACATTAGTCCCTTTAAGTACTTAGTTCACTAACTGATAGGTCGCTTTTGAGTCGAGACTGTGTGTATTATGTAGACCCAATTGAGCTATGTGTACTTTGAAAATAGTTCATATCCTTAGCTTCTTACAGCGAAAATATTCCACTTTTATAGTGTTTTTTTAAATGAACGCTGGAGTAACGAAAAAACTAATTTTCAAATTTCAACTTGAAACGATGCATAGAGACAGGCCTTAACAAAAACCAGTTATTGTGAAATTTTCACGTCTTTTCATTTGCTCGTATCCTGGAATATGAACATAAAATCTGTAGGTTTATATGAGCAATGCAAAAGACATGCTATTACCAAAGTTGTATCTTAAACTAGGAACAGCGACAAGATCTGAAATGTTCACAAAAACTATTCTCGTCAAGATTTATCTATATACAAAGTTGCAAATTGAAGTTCGAAAAATCAGTTTTTCTACTACTACGGCATTCATTTAGAAAATACTGGAAAAGTGGAATATTTTCGTTGCAATAAGTTGAGGGTATGAACTCTTTTCAAAGTACTCATTTGGACCTACATAATACACATAATTTCACCTCAAAAACTGTATATGAATCGGAAGTCTTTCCGCGTGTGTCTTAAAATGTTATCCTATTAGATTTTTCATTTGATCAATTTATTTTGAATTCATTTTTGAATAATTCACTGCTTGCCAACATTTCGACAAATGAATATTATATTGCATTAACTGAAACAGCCCTTTACTGTTAGCATACGATAAAATTGATCTCGATTTTTGAATATTCATAAAAGAACAGTTTCAATGCGGATTACGACAGAAAAAGTAATTCTAACAGTTCGCAAGATCATACCAACAGGCATACATCGAACTCGAACGTTTATATTGGGATTCGAGTTCGATTTCTATATTGACTGTGATCATTTTCAATTAGTTACTAAAAATAAGTACAAATAAGCTAGATAAAAAGATTTAAGGCGCAGCTAAAGTAGATCTACACATAATGAAACACATGAGCCAAAATTTCAAGATTTGCAAGCATCCTAAAAATAGTCAGCAACCTCGAGAAATACTCGAACCTGAATCCTAGCTTAACCAAACCTTAGGGAACTTTCATGATTGTCCATATACTTCAAGTAACGCTTGTGCAATTACTCAAGTACTAGACATGAACGAAGCACGAACCTTGGAAATCGGTAAGCTTGGCTCTGGTCCAAAGTCAAATTCGTTGTAGGGCTGGAGTTTTGACTTAGTGCGACATGGACAAACAGTTCGACGACTCGCTCATAACAAACATTGTTCTACTATAGAGAAAATTTTTGCACTTAAAGCCTCTATTCCATTTTACAATTAGAGCAGACACTTAAACATACTCAAAATTCTGTTGAGATCGACTTGATTTCTTTCATACAGATTTCATTTATTTATGCCTTAATTCTTGATTGTTTCTTAGACGTGCCAATATAATTGTCATAAAACTATTTCACCAAAAAAATAATGCCAGAAATCAATATTTTTTATTGGATAAGAACATCTTCTATTAGTATCTCTCTTGCAACACAATAACAAAATACAATTCAATAAATATAGTTATCTTTAATTCATTCATTGTTTTGCAGTAATTTTTGTGCTGACATATTTTTCTTTTTTCTTTTACATTATCGAGAAAATGAAATTGTACGTGTACTTTTAAAATTTAGTCAATTTGATTTTTGTTACTCTATCTGATACACCACTTGCGGTAGAAATATGATACTTAAGAAAATTTGTTTATTTCTCCGCTTTCATCCTCCTCTGCGGCGATATTATTGTTTAGATACAGTAACTTTTCTATTTGATTCAACCAGATCAATTATATTTGGTTTAGACAGTCCATTGTTAGCATACAATGGATTCACTTTCTTTTCGTCTAAATAGGTCATTGTCAACAAATAACGAATTTACTATTATTTCTGAAATTGTCTTACTATTGTAATTATCTTCTAGTTTAACATTCATCGTCATCATATCGTTGTTTTTTGTTCATCAACATCACTAATAAAAATCCAGTGAAGACAATTGAATTGATACTTCGTATCCATTAATTAAAATAAACATATGCTAAAACATTCATATTATGAATATCTGGTAATAATTCAAATTTGTCTAACTTTTAGGTACGAAAAAGCACGATGAATAATGAAACAGCGATCATGAAAAGAACAAGAATGATTGAAACGATAGCGCTGTCAAAATAACCATCCATTTAGACTCAGTTCCAAAGAAGTAATACAAATCAAATATTTACAGAGAACATGTTTGATTGATGGCCGTACAAAAGCACTGACAACATCAGTTTATTCGACTTTAACTTTAATATGTTACTTGCATGATATACATAAAATAAAAGAATTTAAAAATAAATAAAAGCTTCTATATCGTTCAATTCATAGAAAAATGCTGTTGAAATTGAAAAAATCTTGATCCTGCTATTGTAATAGCCATCATTGAAGATGGACGCAGTTACAATGATTTTTTTCAAAACAAGTTTTTAAGAGTTTATTCAATTAGTTTTACTCTGTAAGAAAAGATTCATTGCTGTAATTATTGCTATGCTCATCTGTATCTCGTTTAGATTATACACTTCCCTACGGTAATTCAACAAATAATCAATTAAAAAGACATTATAGAAAATATTTTTTAATGGTAAATTCGTTATCGAAATTACCTTTCATCTCAATCAGTACTGACTTTTTATGAGATAACAAAAGAGCATCTTATTTTATACTACTGGCCATCGATAACTAATGAAGTCGATTTAAAATTGACAATATTACGTTTTTCTGCATCTCAAAAATGGCATTATTCAAATTTAATTGGTTTTGAAATTGAGAAACAATTGATTGAATTAAAATTATTTGATAAAATAATCAACATTATTTGCGATGCAGTGCCAAGTATGATAATAGTGTTTTATCATTTACTAGGTCCCGATATAACTCTTACTCGTTCTTAAATACATATTCTTCATCTGACTGTTTGCAACGACCTTGGTCTCTGCGTAGATAAGGAAAAATACTAAATCATACCACTGATGAAACCAACTCAATCAAGCCTAAAAAACGACAAAGTCAATCCTAGAAAAAGTCAACATAAGTGATAATGAAGAAATAATGATTGAAGNTTGGTGAAAATCTCGAATGTAAACTAATATTACCAGAAAAATTTCGAGCACATATTGAAGGTCTAGTGGGAAATTTCAATGGAGATTCTAATGATGATCTATGTAATCGAGAAACGAATCAGATAGTTCGAATAGGAAGTTCATCGAATTTATCAGCATCGGAACATGATAAAGATGTTCTTAATGCTTGTTTGTCATGTAAGTGTCAATCAAGAAATATCGAATATCTTAGTACGAAAACTTTATTTTCAGGGCGAGTACCAAGTAATACAACATTAGACAATAGAACACCTATTATGCCAAGAAGTTTAGTAGAATGGTATTATAAGAATGCATCAAACTTTCTTACAAGTTTGAATCCACGTTTGAATCAAAGTATTGTCAATCAAACATGTCATGATAATTTTGAATGTATTCATGATTATCTCATTCGAATAAATTCTTTTACTAGTGAAGCAACAGCTTCAGGATTACAGTCGGTTCAAGAATCGAGAACTGCACTAGGTAAACTTTTTTAATTGAAATAAAGTTGTTATATGTTTTTTGTTTTTGTTAAATTGAAATAGCTGAAATACCTCCAACAATAGATTTGATGTTGCCTATCAACATCACCTTACTAATTAATAACGTAAATCGTAATTATTCATTTGATATTAATATTATAGCTGGTGATAGAACACCTATAAAAAGTGCCCATGTCACTATTCATCCATTTAATAAAACAGAAAATATCAATAATACCGGCTTGTCATCTATCATAGTGCCAATGCCGAACAATGCGAATAGTTCTGTTGAAGTTTTGTAAGTATTTTTAACTATGTAGAAGATTATTTCGGATTTTATCTATATCTTCATGATGCAACGTTATTACTTATGTATATTATGGTGAAAACTAAAATTCAGTCAAATTTGAAATTTCTCTGTCAGTTTTGAAATTTCAACAACGTGCAACATAATCTCTGTAAAAATTAAAGTTCTAATTATAAAAAGAGAGAGTTCCGATTTATTGGTTGATAAACAGGAAAAGTGTCGTTTCTTTTAAAATTTCCTATGATTTTCCTTGTCTTCTATCTGAAAAGTATCCTTTTCAAGAAAATTCAGGAAATCTGTTTCGTCTCTTTTCTGTTCATGTTGTTCTTGTGGTGTATCACAGCATTTTCAAAGAAGATTCGTTATCACCAACTGTTTTGTTTTTGTTTGAAGCAGCAGATGCAACTACAGTATCTTACGGAACTCGTTTTGTGAATGAAGCTGTCTTAATATTATAAACAGATGTATTTCTCTAAATAGATAATGATCTTTTCAGAGTTTTTCAAGCTGCTGAACTGGTCATCCTTTTACTTCAAATAAACAAATTATAATGGATAAAATAAGAGTTACTGAGAATTTTATGCTGTTAAATGATCTATGTTTGATTTCTCTCTTATGAACTCATTCCGAGAATATCATGGTATATATGTTCAAAATTTGAACAGAGATTCTGTGCGAAATCTCCATCGTATACTGTTGTATTTTGGGCAATTTGAATGTATCTGTTACATGACTGCTTTTTAATAAGCGAGCCTTAAATAAAACACAATAATACGGTTATAATTGTTATTTATTTTAGATTAACAATACAATATGGATCTAATTCTACATTCCAAACGTATTTGGATATTCTTGCTTGTTTATGTACGAATGGAAGCATATGTGATTTTGAGGAAAGAACTACAATATCTGATCATTATCAACTTGCTTCATGCAACTGTCTACCACAATATGATGGTATGTTCATTGAATATGAATTAAATTTCTTCTTTATCAAAAAGATTCTTTTGTAAGGTATATTATGTGAGTTGGATTATGATGGTTGTACATCTGGTAGTGCTTGTAAAGTTAATTGGGATAATGAAACAACATGTATTCCATTGAATGCTACTGATCAATTAACACAAAGTCGTTCCTATTATTGTAACGGATCATGTATAAAGGGATATAATAGTTCAGTCAATGGTTATACATGTGATGGTAAGAATTTATGAAAATCAAAAGACTTTTATGCAAAGAAATTTAATTTCAGATATCGATGAATGCAGTTTAAATCCGTCTGTATGTGGAAATGGCACATGTTTTAATCTTATTGGATCATATACCTGTGATTGTCCCTCTGGTTATCGATCCTATAATGAAACATGTGTTGGTAAATCTTTTCTAGTGAAAAATTAATGAAATAAATGTTCGGTTTTCTATCCTCTNTGTTATGTTTTATTCATTTATATTTTACTTGGTTGTATATTACTCGAAAAAATTGACTCAACGAATCAATGATTGTTGTTTTTGTACATTATTCTTATCTATCTTTTACTTGGTTATAATTTGAGCAAAAAACAACAATCATTGATTCGTTGAGTCAATTTTTTCGAGTAATATACAACCAAGTAAAATATAAATGAATAAAACATAACAAAAAATAGTCACTTGTTCATTGCATCATTTTTTTAAACTAAATTATAAAGCAATAAAATATGCACAACCATATTTTAAGAAAAATAAGAATTGCTTGTATGTGATTCATTTTTGCTCAAGTAAATCATAACCAAGTAAAAGATAGATAAGAATAATGTACAAAAGTAAATAATCACTTGTTTATTGAATCATTATTTTTCAAGGTCGTCAGTACTTTTCGAGCCCTTCTGATAACCAGCATATTATCCACTTGATCCGGTGATAATCTCTGTCTTCTATTGTTTAATATAATCCCACTATAACTAAAAAGTCGTTCTGTTTCTGATGATGTAGCTGGAATCGAAAATAGTTTTCGAGCTAGACATTTTAATAGAGGAAATTTCGATGTTGCAAATTCGCCTGACCAAAATTGAAGTGGATTTTCTTTGACTATTGATGACGGCAAATCAGCCTCCAAATATTGATCAAGTTCATCAGGCTTGAAAGCTTGATAATTGGTTTTGTATGAGAATTCTGTTGATAATGAAGAAACTGAAGATGAACGTTTCATACTGGTTTTGTGAATAAGATCGATGTTGTCGTCATCGACAAGCACAACATTTTGATCAAGTGTTGATTGTATTTGTTTTTCTTTAAAAAAAGTAGAAAATAGTGTTTAGAAATTTAGTTATAAATTAATATTTATGGTATTACCTTCATCATCATCATCATCATCATCATCTTCGTCTAAAAATTTATGCAATAATTTTCGTTTTTTTCTTGATGACGAAACATTGTTTGCTGGTGCATCAACAACATTAAGTTCATTATCTTGTAAATATTTTCGAATGTTCATATAACAATTTGTTCTTATTTGATGTGGAACATCATCTAATGAAATATATTATAAGTGATTATGGTATGCCATTGGGAAAGAACAAACTTTTCTTACCCATTTCTCTTAATGCAGGATGAAGGCACATAGCCATATAATGATGATCGTCAAAAATGAAAATTTCAATTAACTTTGCATGTATACGTCGTCGAAAGAATTCTACACCTAGAGTAAGATTAAAGAATCACTTCTTTTCTGATACTTTATAGATTAAATAGACTAAGATAATAGTAACGAACGTTGCTGTCATCAAAGAAAGTCTAATAGAACATTTTAATTCCGTTCAAGCTATAGAGTCCAACCAGAATGATTTTACAGAAAGCTTTCTGTCTTTATGCAAAGAACCAATGATAATATCATTTGGGACATTTTCGAATTGCTTAGATAGAAGTAAACAATGATAAGAACAACACATACCATCAGATTCAGTTAATAAATAATCAGCAATCAGTGAACTCTGAAATATGGAAGGATACTTTTTTTTTGCCGATGAAACTAATTTCGAATATGTACTATAATTGTCTAGTAATTTTTGGTAAAAAGGAACTACTAAATGTAATGATGGTGTTTCATCCGTTTGAATAGCTTGGAGAGCAGCATTAAGTGGAGCCAGTAAAAGCAACAAGTCGATTAAATTATATTTTGTTAAATTGTCAATATATCTTGTTGCACGACGACTTTCTAAGGCTAACAATACAGCATCATAGTTGTTATAGACAGATTCAGCACAGGAAAATAATGAAAGCCATCGTGTAACTACTGACTGTTTCAATGTTGTAGTTCCTTCACCACCTAATTTCACTATTAATTCATTTAGATTTGACCAAAAAAAGTAATAAAAAAATTATGAATGATAACTTGATATAAAAGTCTAAGTGATAAAGTTTTCAGTGTAGTGGTTTAATTTAAATGGTATAAAAACAACCGGAATATAAAAGCGCGTTGAATAATGAATATATTGAAAAATAAAATAGCGAATGATAAAAACGATGAAGGATAACTAGGGAAAAAAATTTCCAAAAGCCTAGTCTATGATAGTTCAACTTATCTAAGTGTCAGAATGAATTTCCTTTTGTTGAACCTGCAGATCTACGTTTTCATGAACCCAAACCTTAGCAACATCAAACTTCAGGTATTCATTCGATAACAAACTAAATTTTGAACCTTGATCGAGTATGGATATGGAAGGATTCATATTCCCCTTCCCATTTCGATAAAACCTATTGAGATCAAGATTTCATAGACCTAAACCCGATCACCATTCGATGGATCAAAATGATGTAATTTAGACCTGATTGACAGATCTTTTGTGGGAGACATGATCGTTGCAGTAGCTTTGATAAGTCAATCAAGACCTGAGAAGAGAAAGAATTCGAAATCGGAGTTCAATTAGCTACAGTTAAGAACTATATCTATTCTAAGCCTTCTCATTACTAGCAATTAATCTATTTTTACCATTTTCAAACTGTTCGACATATTATACATTGCATCACTTTTACTTGAAAATTTTCATTTTTCAGGCATTTCTTTGCAACATTTGCTGATTCAATATTTTTCGAACTTTCTACGATTGGTAGTTTTTAGTAAGATGTTTGCTTATATCGTCAACTTTTCCTACCTCTTCTATAAATATTTCTAGTTTACTGTTACTATCCAAGCTTTCAGTGAACGCATATTTTGCTTATTGCTTTTCCATGGATTATTGTAACTTGGATTCATAATACTTCATGAAAATGAACGCTTAAGCAAATGCTTCAGCGATCGCATCATAAAAGAAGTAAAATTTTGCACATTTACTTTTCTTTTTGCTTTCTTTTTTCTATACGATACTCTCCGCAGTCCAACATAGTTTAAATTCTATCTAATAATAGACATGATGTTTTAACATACCTGCTTCACATGTCGAACAAGAATTTTCGTATGATTAATAGTCAATAAGACTCTTTTAGCACCTAATGTAATGAAATCATCACCAATAAATTCTTCTTGACCTAAATTATCAGGAATGGGTGTGGGTGTGGGTGTGGGTGTAGGTTTGGGCTAAACCAAGGATACCCACATCTACCAACACCCACATCCATCCACCCACACCCACACCCACACCGCGGTACTTAATAAAACTGTCGGTATACGGCCCGTGTATTGCCGGTTTCTTCAAGTACCGCGGTATACGGGCGGTAGTTCAAATAAATGTACGACATGGATAATATCAGACAACGGTAGTTTTTTGAAATGTAAAAAAATGAAATATCACTAGGGATTCTGAACATCTTACGGGAATGGGCACGGAAACAAACATTTTTTTCAAGGGAGCGGGAATAAAAATTATTTTTGTCGGAAACGGGAAACCCAAAAAAATTTGTTCCCGCAGAACTCTAGTAAATGAAGAAAAATGCCCTTATCAACTGAATCAAGTGATACAACACTTTTTCGTCGATAGAAAAATCAAGCAGAACAATGATAGTAAAAATGTCAAAATAGAGATTTTGGGAACATTGTTAGATTATGTCTTAGAGTCAACCAAAATACCCAAATTCAACCAGTTTGGAATTGAGTTTGGGTTGTTTTTTCAGTTTCTTTCAAGCTCTAATTAAATCAAAAGGCTCCATTGGATCATTCTCTGTTCGATTGTTTAAGGCAGACGTCATGCTATATATATGGCCGAAAGTTTATCGATATAGTTAATAATCAAGAAAATAAATTTTTAAAATATTGAAATTCTGTTATTGAATCTCGGTGCATACCAAGAGAAGACTAATACTCACATCACTATACATTGATTAATCGTTTAATAGAAATCATATTTACCTTCATATTTTTCGGTGCTTATAGTTTCCATGCTCATCATTTACCAATTCCCTAAAAACTTTAGTTCAAAAGAAGATTTTCTACCGGTGATATTCAACTACCAGAAGACATTCATTCCAAGAAAGACTCGAAAATTTTCTGTTTTGGGAACTCTAATATCTGAGAAGAAAAACATTTTTTTGATTTGAAATTTTCAGAGCATTCTACTCACAAGTAGACCTACCCGTGAACAAATTCTCAGGTCAGAATATCGTCATTCGATTCGTTGATATATACCATGCCATTGTCTAAAGGGCAAAGGACTCAAGATGATTTATCCTTTTGAAATTTTTCACATTTCATTGAGGTCTATCTTATGCACAGAGTCCGAATTCAAAAGTGATTTACCAGTTGAAAGTGTTTTCTCATGAACTAGTGATCAGCTCGTTAGAAAGAAATTGAAGTTGGGTCTAATTTTATTTTGACGAACACTTCCATCAATCAATAAGTTTTGATATTCATACTCGTAAATACAAATGAAGATTAGCAAGTTCATCTTTATCGTAATGCGTATACGACTCTAATGACCTGTAATAAATTTTCCATTGATTCTCGTACGTAAACATACATGTTCAAATTTTCTATCTTCATAAGCACCTTGATCTAGATTCATAAAATCTATATCAATTGTTTCCCATAGTATATCTCGATTAAATTGTGTATGTAAATGAACAAATAATTTTTGAAGAATTTTTAAACCATATATCCATATTTTTGCTGATAAAAATGTATGCATCTAAAGTATAAGACTTATACATAGTTTATCAACATTTGCCATTTGACATACTTATGTCTGACCAAAAGTTCTGGTAATATTATTGAGGATTTTATCAACCGATTAACATTAAAGAGTATGTAAAAGATTTGATTAATTAATAATGAAATCGATCGCTATAATATTAAAATGCAGACTCTTTTTAGAAATATATGCAAAGATAATTCAGGAGGAGCCTACAATAGCATTGAGACCTAGACCTCTATCGTGTCGAACAGTTGCTAGGTAAGAAAAGCATTTTCAACAAGGTGTCAATTATGACTCTCGATCTGGTCATCCAGATTTCAAGCTGACAACAGCATTTATTAAACTGATACTATAGGTTATCACATTGATTGATACTCAACTTCGGATGATATTATAGCTGAGACTTCTCTCTTGTACAGTACAATAGAGAGGATTATCCTCAACTATTTAAAGATGAGAAAAATAACATCATGTTAGGTGACTCATCAACTCAATGATGAAAACAGCAAGAACGAATTGCAATTTGTCGTGAAAATTTGGCGAAATCTTGTCATGAATCATGACGATTATGTAATATTATTATGAGTGATGAGACATGGATTCATCATAGTCACGTGGGACACAACTAAACTAACGCAAGCCGTATTAGTGAAGGCAAATCACAAACAACTATTGCTTGTCAAAGTAGATTTCAATCATAAACTTTGTTTTCTATATTCTTTAAATCAAATGGTCCTGTTATGAAACATAGGATAGATAAAGACGAGAGTATAGATCTCAACTATTATATAAAAAATTGCCTAAAAGCCTGTTGTCAATGACACATGGAAACAAAGAAAGTCATCCGGTGTAAAAGATATAAAATTACTTCATGACAAATGCTCGACATTATATTCATGCGTATATATTCTGAATTATTTACTACAGAGAAGTATCGATATAACGCTGTATTCACCGTTTTCATCAGACTTTGCACGATACGATTTTTGTCTAAATGATTGTATTGAGCGTAGTTTAACTGAGCAAACAAATAAAAACTCATTGACTTGTGTGATTTCTAAGATAGTTAAAAATATTTCAGAAAAAAGTTTAAAAAAACATGACAAATTGTTGGAAACGACGAAACAGTGTAAATAATTAAAGTGACTATTTAGAACATTTAGTAAAATAAAATTCGAAATATTTCTTTATTTTTATATTTTGATTTAACGTTGCTAGAGTTTCTGGTCACCTGTAAGTAATTCGACGATCTCTGTTGTTGATTTAAAAACAGATTAAAAAATAATTAATACAGGTGTTTGTTCATCTTGATAAAATGCTGAAGATATTTGCAATGAATGTTCATCAACTTGATTTAATATTGATGTACCATAAAGATTTTGTGAAACTGTTACATTTATTTTTCATATCATATTCTCCGTACATAATATTGGTTTATTGGATATTTGATAATAGAGAAAAAAAGAATTTTTTGAATAATATTAAAATAGCATCAGATTTCTTTAAATACAATTACTATTCTTGTTAAATGTATAAATGGACTATCACTGGAATGATTTTCTTTTCTTACTACTCACTGTACTTCATGTATAAAAATCTAATTTCTGTTACAAAATACTATCACTAAAAGAAAAGAAAAATATGTCGATATTGAATATAATCTACTTCATTTAAACCAAATAAATATTTATCTGTAGTCATAAACGACAACAGTTTATGCATATGAGTATATATATATATGTATATACACATGTATAGTCAGTTGTTTTCTGATTTGCAAATCTAATGAATCAAGTGCAAACATCTGATTGATATTGTTTGTTACTTTTATCGTCATCTACATTTTTAATCAACATATTTGAGGTCTTAAGAGCATTACTTAGCAATATGTTGACATATATACATATGACGTTAATATAAAAGAAAATTTGCTCGTATACAAAAAAGCTAATATAATCAATCCATTGATATTCTTTCTCTCAGGCACTTTTATAAAAAATATTTTAATACGTAAATTCCTGTTTTTCTTACTTTACTAAAATGTATGTAATAATTCATTGCATTGCTTTTTTTTTGAATAATATGTCTTCAAGAGAAACTGACTAATTCATTTCATTATTTACTTTTCTGTAGTAGACTTATTTAACTTAAAGACAAATGTATGTAATGATATAAGAGTATATTAAGAAAACTTACTAAAAATAAACTCAATGAAATTATGTTTGATAACTGTTCAGTCGGACCTTTTTTTGATATTTAAAGAATAATCATCTTCTTACAAGACTTTGCTAAATGAAAGACATGGAAGAAAAGAACAAGTTCGATAGATGCTTCAGATGTATTAAATAAATTTTAGCATTCATTCATATAACTTTGTTCAATATTATATGTATGTGTAAATGAATATGTATTTTAATATATATTGTTCATTTAACTTTGATAACCAATAATAGAAAAAAAAATAGTCAAGAATTTTTATTTTTGTTTTCCGTCGGAATGTTTTTCTCTTTGAAACATTTATCCACTATCATTTATGATTTCTTCAATGTTTTTTTTTTGTTTTAGACAAAAAGAAAAGAAACAAGAAAAATCTAACATTGATTCAAAAATCACAATTTAAGATTATAAGTCTAGACTGAAGATATTTTGCTAAGTTTTATATATTCGAAAAATACTCGTAAATTGTTCTCAATTTGAGAATAAAAAAAAAGTTTTTTCATATATAATCTTGTTTTTTTATATTGATATGCAATTTGAAGAAATATATAGACAACACATCTTTTTCTGTCTTGCACTTACTTCTAATTTTAGCGATTGTCTGTTGAAAAGTAGAGCAGTGTATCGTTCACTTTGTTAGCATTGAAATAATTCAAGAGCCGTTTTATTTCTCACAATATGATTAAGCAGGGCAACTGACGATATAATTATACTGGCACAGTGTCATGTAGATACACGGGCCCGCTCGTATATAAACCAATCATAGACAAGAAACAGTAGTTTTTAAAAAAAGAAGAGATAGATACTTTTCTTCTCCTTTTTTTCTTATTCTCACGCTGAATTCAGTGACCACAATCTCATAGACAAGGTTTTTCTCTTACATTTTCTCTTTCTCTCTGTCTGATCTCTTTCGTTTGATTTTTCAATTTTTTTTATTCTTTTCTTTTTTCCTATCATTTACATGCAAATATATGCTGTAGTTTTTCATGCATACCTCCCGTTTTCTTCTCAGTGTTATTTAATTGATCATTGATGCATAATTACCAATATTTATATATGTTATTAGACCATGAACTTACAATATAGAATCTCTTCAATAAAATTACGACCAACCAATTGGTTATTATCTTCGATTACAATTACAATCTTAATTTCTATTATAAAAGGTAGTAGTATAATGATTAAAAAAGATCACATGAGCACATAATGAACGGTCATAAATGCTTCAATTATTGTGTTTGAATATGAAAACATATTATTGAATGAATCCCTTATTTTTTTTTCATGAAAACTCTAATCACGGAATACAAGGAATTTAAGTGACAATATTTACTTTACATGCATATGCATGTATAATGCCGTGAAGTTGATATTGGTTTTTTTTCTAAAGCTAGATTAACAAAATGAAGTAATATATTCTTAAAGAAAGATTTTGAAAATAATAAGTCTTATTTTTATTTTTATTTTTCTCGATTTTTCTATAATAATTGATATGAGTTATTCTATAGAAGATTTCAATGAAACCAAATTACTTAATGAAGTAACTATGATCTTTTCTTAGGTTCATATTCCAATACTGGTGAATGGAATAATCTGAATAATCAACGTATTTATTCTGATTTAGCAGGAACAATACATAAATTTTCATCTATCAAAGACCATAATGTCATTGCTAAACGCTTTCAATCGCCGCTTGATATTTCTGATCAAGATCAACTGTTATTGGAAGGTTATCGTTTGGTAAATTCTCAAGATGCTGTTTCATCATTTCAAATAGCCACCCATGATGCAGGATCTACGGATGGTAGTGGCATGTCTACAGAAGACGATAGTAAATATTTTTCTAAACAGTTTTTTTTCTCTCAAAGAAAACTATAAAAAAAAAGAAACATCTAATCATAAAATACCAATGCGTAAATAGAACTAGTGATGTGTATCCATTTAGTCTCATTTTGAAAGCTTGAATTATTTACGGCCTAAAGAACAACACAGGCATCAAAATATGACGGATAATCTTATTCTAAACGAAACTCAATCTTTAAAGAAAAATATTTTTGAATTGAAGATAATTCTATTTAGAAAATTTTTCTTTGACTATGCATAGGTACATCAGTGGCCGTAACCGATACAACAGATTCAACAACTACTATTCATTTAACTTCAAATGATTTTCAAACTAGTGCCTTGTCTACTCATATAAGCGAAACAACATCTGAGCGTAGCCAAACATCATTGTTTATTTCTACTTTACAATCTGATTCCTCGCCATCCACTATACTACCTATCCAAAGTTCAAATTCGATCTCGATCACTACTGAACAAATAACGAATGCAACTTCATCTTCAACAACAACCACACCTATACCTTTAGATCATACACAGTTTTATTTAGATTTTAGATTCAAAGGGCAGCCTAAAAATGTTGATACTTCTCCACCTGAACCATCAATTTCGCAAGAACAAGTATATAACTTACTGCTGTATGATATTCATTCCTAATCCGTTGATTTTTAATATTAGATATTAAGTATTTTAATTGAAATGAATAATGCGTATGATACAACAAATGTACAAATAAGCAATATTACGTAAATACTAAGAAATTTAAAGATATTATTCATTATTTTATATTTACATGCATAGTTATTTACCAAATATCATTATTCAATATAGTGTCATGTTAAATATATCATTGAATATTATGGAGCGTTTATATTTTGTTATTCAAGCTTTCGAAACTAATATTAGTTCAAATCCTAATTACGGTTTGACCGTACGAGCTATTATCAATACTGTAGCTAATCACGAAGGTAAGTTTAATGCTAAAACTATAAAGTATAAAATATTTTTTAATTTTTATGACGATTCTAGAATCTTTTTCAACTAAACCACGAAAATGCGAAATATGTAGGATTTCGTATACGGGTGTTTGTAGGTTGAACGAAAATAAATGCAATTGTGTACTCAATTTCGACGGTGATTTTTGTGATAATAAGCAGGTAATAACAGCAAAAGCAATCCTACAATTATCGACTCATTCTCAAAAGAGATACTATGTCTGTATAGAGAAAATAGATAAAGATAGCGGACAGAAACGCCCAAGAGACTTTTGTACAGATATAGTTCATTTTCATAGAGATTTTGTTATTTATTGATTCTTTACATCTCTAAATGAATAGCTATTTAGTTCTCAGTATTATTTCACAGTTTCCAACACTACTTCATCAATATTCGTAGCTATTTCTTTTTTTTTATATCTCTAACTGAATAGTTACCTAATCCTCAGCACTATGTCATAAATATTCATGTCTGATTAAAGATCACTTAGCTACTTAATTATTGTGATTTTTTTCGGCAATAACGCGAGAGATTGAATATATTTTGATCGATAAGAAAAGAGAATATCATAGAATTTTTATTTTAGGTTGATTGAGAATAGCTAAAATTAAATTGAAAGAATATAAGTTTAGAAATGTTTTGAAAGTGATGAATTAGTCAGAATTGAATAATGTGATATGGGTATATAAAGTGAAGACAAAAATAAATAATTAAATAATTGTATGCAGCATATTTGTTGCTATTTTATTTTCCAATGACAATGGATAATATTAAAGTCGTTACTGTTGGTCTTGTAGAAAATGTATATTTCTATTATTCAGCATACAAAAACAATAAATCGATGACAAATATTCAAGTGTGAAGTAATAAATCATATTATGAAGATAGAAATCCATAGCGTAACGAAAAAGTCTAAAATATTCAGTGTCAGGTAAAAAAAAAAAAGTCAGCCATTACAAAAATCTTAAATATTTATTATCAAAAAGAAAAAAGATCGACAATATGGTATAATGAATTTAAAAAGACATAGATACAAACAAACAAATAGAAATCATAACACAAGGGAATCAGCTATTTAAATTATTTAAAATTTATATATCTTTTTTCTTGAGTAATTATCAAATCTTTAAAATAGTTATGATAGCTTTTTAGTAGCATTGGTTTTCAATAGTTTATAATATGATGAAAATCAATAAAGTAAATGTTGTTATAAAAGGTAGAGATGTTTAAATCATTGAATAACTGTTTATGAAGTTTTTTAATTAACTATCAAATTAATTTAAATGACACTAAGTTCTAAATAGCTGATTACATGAACAAGTACAATAAAGGAAAACTTGTTACAAAGCAGTGATCTAATTAAATCATTTAGCATTTGTGTACTATTTGAAAAAAAGTATCTCGTTTCAGATAAAACAGTCGACAAATTGGATAATTATTGTTAGTATTATAAGTGCTATAGCTGGTGTTCTTCTAATTATTTCTCTTTCAATGTGTTTTTTTTATATTATTGGAAAACGTCCTCACTCAAAAACAAAGTAATAATTAACAAAATAAAAAAGAATTTTGATTAAATAATTTTTGTTTTTAGAGAAACAAAACAATCAACAAATACTAGACAGTTTACCATTCCTCGAGCTTATCTTCCAACAATGGGCACTACAAGTCAAGGTGCAATCGGTTTTACTGATTTAAGTCATAATGCAAATCATACATATCCATCTAATTCAACAACAATTTACAATCCAATTTATCGTACAAATGAAGATTCTCAACATACATCATTATCAAGTAGTTCTATACCACAAACACAAATGCTTGGTATAGCTGATACATTAAATAGTTTTCCTCGTGATCTAATACATAACCCATCTGGAACAACTAGTTTAGTTTCGGATTCGAATGATATTGATGAAATTGAATTTACTACTGATATGTTACATGATATGATAAAAGATGATGATAATATGGAAGATGATTTCATAGAAGCAATCAATCCTAATGTCATAATACCAAGATCAATTACATAATTAGAAATAGGAAAAATGTAGACAATATTCGGTATGTCAAAAACAAAATGAGTTTTATCCTATCTCCATCTACTATCTATTTCAAATATAATATACTTATCTGTTCTTTGAATAACTTTTGATAGAAAAATCATAGAGATTTGCGGTTTTCATAGTTCAACTACGAAAACCCGTCACCATCGAAATATATCGAAATTTCATTGATTCATCAGTTCAGCTCTTGGCGAGTTTTTTTCGAAAGCAATATTTTGAAGCAATTTTTCTTTCGATTTACACTTTTAATAGAACTAATCGATAGAAAAACAATTCTTTCCTTTCAGTCTTTACAAGGCTGATATGGTTAGTTGTCTACATTCGAGAGTTATAAGACTTTTTCTGTTTACCCCTGATTTTCGTCAGTTGTCCTGCGGTCACTTGAAAAAGCAGCGAAGCAAAAATATTTTATGGTACTGAGTTAAGTAATAATATTGGATTTTAGATTTGAAGTGATCTGATGCTATTATCTTAATATTTGTGAAATTCCACAATGAGTCTTCATGTAACAAATGAGTCAACATTTCAGACATATTGAGATAACAGAGTCAGGTCATCTCGAACTTAAAAACAAATATCATCATTAGAATCAGCATGGTAAAATATCCATGCCTAGATGCTTTATTGGGCAATCATAGGTCGGTTGACTGAAATCAAGAGTCTTAGTAAAAGACTTACAACTGTCAAATGGAATTAGTTAAAAATATCGGGTTTGTATAGATCGAAAGAGAAGAATTATTTCTATTGATTAGTTCTATTAAAAGTCTGAATTGAAAAGGAATTAGGTTAAGAAATCGTTTTCGAAAGTTTGGATCGACAACTCACTTGTTTGGACAACTGTTGATCGATCATGAAAATTTATTCTAAAAACAGTGAAGCAAATTATATGTCGAAATGGACAGTAGATATTTTCTTATTTTATTTTAGTTGTTTCTTTATTATATAATTTACTTCAATTATTTTAACGAATAAATAAAATATAAATATGTGTATTTCAATTGAATTTTTACAAGATGTCGAATCTGGTTTCGTTTTTTTTCTTCTTTTACTGTGCTAATTCCATCGAAATGTTGATATTGCCTACCTATTTTAAACATGCATATATTTTTTTATATTGCTTTAAGTGAAATCTTTTTTTCTAGCCATTCTTTTTATTTTCAATTAATGTCTTTATATTTTTTGTAATCCCGTGTGATGTTTTTTTAAACAAGACAGACATTGAATGATGATTTTATTTTGTGACAAAATTAGTTGATTGATAATGAAAAACAAACTACAAGAGCCCTTTCGATTTATTTAACTAACTATTTTACCTATTTTTTTTTTTTTAAAAAAAAAATAAAACTAGAATTTATTTGCTTTCTATTTCTTTCCTGCCTAATTTTTATTTTATTTGTCTGTCTGAGATAAGAAATCAACTATTGGTTTTATGATCGTAAATATTGAATCAGTTGGTATCATAAATTACTTTTATTATTTTTTCCAGATTAATTGTCTATAAATATAGTGTATAATTTTCAAGAACTGTCACCGAAAATCTTCAATAAATGAAAAATTATGATATTCGACAACGATATTATATATTTTCAATAAACGGGAACGAGAATAACGTAAAGCCAGGAACAAAAAAAATAATAAACCAGAACCATATGACTAACAAAAGAAAAAAAATAAATAAACAAACGAATATCGACACACACACACACAAAACATAACGCTTATTGAATAAATTCGCTTGTTCAAAACTTTTAATTTTATACATCGTAAATCATATTTTGTTTTATCGGATAGACGTACACAAAGTAATTATTTTTTTTTGCACTGTTCGACAGATATACAAAGCAAGATTATTGATTGTGCATTGGCACGTATACGATCAAATAGAAGAATACAACAAAGAAAATTAGAATAGGAAAAGAAAAAAAAAGAATAAAAATATTGTTTGTTTTTATCTGAGTACATCAACAATAAACGGAAATTTTCGTGGACTGCCAAGTGCAGTTGATAATGTATCAGTTGATGACGTTATAGTTGTTTGATAATCACCAAAGATAAACCGAAAGCTAAATACAAGAGAAAAATATTCACAAAGAGAATTTCACATATGATCCATTAAAATAAAGCAAATATACAATAGCAACATTTAAACATAGGCAAGCACATTAATTCTAACAACAACAGAAAAAAAAATACATCAAAATAATAAATTAAATTTAGAAAAAATAGTAGAAAAAAAAAACAAAAATAAGAAATGAAAATAGATTATTTCATTGTTTTTTTATTCTATTCAGATGGTGGTGGTGAAAGCAACGGCATGTTTGTTTTAGATGGTTTTCGATTGTAACCAAAAAGACTTCCAACAGAAAGTCGTTTTGACGATGAACTATTTGATGTAATGGATGTTGAAAGAGATGTTGAAAATGATTGATCAATAGTTATTGCTGATGATATTGGTGTTGATGATTCAATTGGTGTATTTGGTTCCGATGGAGATGGGTTTTTCGATAACGGAAATAAAGATCGTAAGCTGAAAATAAATAAATAAGACAACAACAACAAAAAACGAAAGCATTCAAAGAATAAATAGCAAAAGAGTGTGAACAAGTTAAAATTTCGTTATGGATTAAAAAGATTAAGATTGTTAGTAAGAAAATGAATTGATTTTTTTTTTGAATTTCTTACACATTGGTTGCTGATTTTACAGTAACAGAGGATAATCTGTAAAAATAAAACATGCAAATATACTTAAATAATAATTGTGCAAAAACAAATTTTCTGCACAAAATCATGCATAATAACGAAAACGAATCAATGCATGAACATGCACGACTTGCATTCATTCATGCTCAAAGCTTACCAATATGAGACAACTGCGAAGCAAGCAATAGTAGGAAAGAATAGACAAACTTTTACACTGAAAGAGAATCATAGATACACACTAGTGACAACGAATATTAGAAGACAAATTATAAGAGATTAAAACAAAAAGATATGTGAATAGGTAAGTTACTAGGGAAAGCAACTACTAGTAGTGTATGACATTAACTTACAATTGCCGAATTTTAGATTCTTCTCGTTTATAACCATATAATTTTTCTTCGGGTTCTAATGGAATTGGACCTTCAACAGCTCCATTACCATCATCATCTTCTCTATAAAAATAAGAAAAAATAAATAAATAAATCAAAGAAATTAAAATGTACAGTATGTTCCAAAAGTTTTTGTCGTATAGCTTTGTCATTCGATTTAACTTTATCAACTAAATTTTTTGTTTAATCATAGGTCGACACACTTAGTTTTTATTTATACGAGCAAACTTTAAAAGTACTCTTCAAAGCTATCATCTCAAACTGAAATATAAAAAGTGAACTATTTTTCTATATGTTGAAAGATATTGTGTAACAATTCGTTTTTTTTTCAGCTTCATTTGCTTGGATTTTATTCACACGTTCACCATCTGCATCAGTTAATAAACATAATTGCCATATTTGAAATTGAAATGATCCCTATGTCGCTTCTAGGTTGCCGTGCACTCACTAACAGTAATTGAATTATGTGTTATATTCAAGCGAACTCGTTGTTGAATCATTTTTTTTTTGATGATCCAAAGGATTGATCATCATGGTACAACGGTCGATTAGGAAAATAACCTTGACATGTTCTAAAGCTATTTTTATCTGATTTTATAGAAGAAAAAGAGTTACTAAAAATAGTGATTTCGCAGCAACATCAGGCATCAGCAAATGATTTTAAGTTAGTTTGCTTCTTACTAAATGATAATTTTAATAATCAGTGATTTAGAAGAAATGACTCAATTTCGTGAGCGTCAAGGTTACTAGACTTAATACCATTGGATTTCTTTTCAAGGGAATACATGAAAATAAATGTCACTAAAACAACCTTTGAAGATCAGAATAATTCAAGATATCGAAGTCACTAAAAACGAATCGTTTGATATAAATGTTTTTCTACATATAGAAAAAAAGGCTAAAGTTTTTTTTTTTCAGTTAGTTATGACAATTTTGACGAGTGCTTTGAAGTTCATGCGTATAAAATCTCTGTGTATAGATCTAACTTCTGAGGGAATCTCTTCAGGTGTCAAGTTGTTTTGCAATCGAGACAATATTTATTTGATGAATGCTAGAGTTTTCCGAGCTTTCGTTCTTGAGATATCGAAATTTTACTGAGTTTTTCAATAAAAGGCTATAATTGCCCTGAGAGCACGTGATAATTTTGATTTGAAACTTTGAAATTTGCTTGTACACATGCAAAGATTTCGAATATTATATATCTCAATATAGGTTATACTAAAAAAGTTACAAGTTACTCAATGAACTAATCTCATTGAGAACTTCATTCGTTAGTACAAACTCTCACATGACCTAAGGAAGACTACAACTATTTGTTGGAGAAATCTTTGAAATTTCCATGTTTCAAGGATGAAGACTCGGAAAACTAAATCATTTTAAACATTTCTATTACTCATCCAATGAACATCGCCTTGGTTGCCAAGCGATTTGATATCTGAATAGAGTCCATCGGGTCCAAGAATTTCTGAACTTGGACTCGGACCCGATGGGCTCTATATCTGGAGAAATTCCCTTGTTAATTAATAAGATTGAATCAAATAGCAAAGAATTTTTATGAAGCGATTTTTTGGACATGCTATAATTGTTTCTAATCTTTCTTTTTTGTAAAAACTTATAAAATTTTCTTATTAATTACTGGTCTTTAAATATTCTTAATTCTTCTTCAACTTCCAATAATTTTGTTTTTAATTCATTTCGTTCCCATAATACTTGACGCAATTCTTCAAGTGTAAATCTTGGTTGAGTTGCTTCTAAACTTTCTAAATCATTGATTGGATTCTTTAAAAAAGAAAAACAGTCATATATTTTTGATGTTATAAAGATATATATATATATCTATTTTTTGTCTTGTTTTATACTAAACATACAATAGATGAAGTTGGACTTATTAAATCATCACCAATACGATCTTTCATTTGATTAATAAAATTTTCTTTTTCTTTAAGTTTAACTTCTAAATCCAATTTTTCAACCATTAATCGTTGTGATTGATTTGTTGTAAATGTATTCTTTTGACGTAATGTACAATTGACTTTACACATACGTTCAAGTTGAGCATGAATCTATAAGTTATTAATTATTTTATCAAAAAAAAGAATAATAATAATAATAAAAGTCTTAGAATTTTTTAATTGTCTTTCTTTTGTAAACACTTATCAGATAATTGCAAAAAAACAAAATAATAAGCTCTTTTGTTTTGTTTTTTTTGTTCTACTTACAGCTTCTACATCAAGTGTTTTTTGTGTTAATTCTTTATCTTTTGATTTCAGCATACGTTTTAATTTAATATTTTCTTCTGTTAAATTTTTTATACATTGAAGTTCTTCACGAGTAATACCTAATTTAAAATGAAAAATAAACAAGAATGAAAAGAAAACTCAATTAATTCTATACTGATAGTTTCAATTGGATTAACTAAATCAGATTTATTATGTAAATCATTATTACGTTCAAGATCATCACGTAATCGTCGATTTTCATCTTGTAATTTAGAAACAAGTGCCATTAAATTTTCTGCCTAATAATAATAATATATAAAATAATTTTATCAAATTTGAAGAATTTTTTTTTTACTTCTTTTCGCCATTGTTCTTCAACAACATCAAGTTCACGATCAAATTTTTCACGTAATTCACGTGTTTCATTTTTTTCAGTTTCTAAACGTTCAATACGTGTTTTCATTTCAATATATTCATCAGCGTCTTTTTCATTTTTTGCTGCCTGTAATTCAAGTAATTCAAGTATACGTATTACTTTTGGTACAAGATCACGAATTGTTTCAGTTCCATATGCTAATAAAAAGAATATTTCATCTCGACAAAAACACATTCATAGTCATATATATATATATATAAATACCTTCAATAATACGTTCAAAATCTTTGCCTATTAATGCAGCTTCATCATATACATCAAGTACAGTTAAATTTGTATGTTGTTGTCGCATTGGTGATGAACACGTCATGTTTTGTATATTATCTATTGATATTGACGATTCATAATGATTATTATTTGTGATTGGTCGAGACAGGTTATCGGTTTTTTGTGAAATAAGATCAGATAAATGTCCGATTGATGACAATGAAGATAGATCTAATTAAATGAAAATTCTTATAAAGATGCGAAAAGGAGAAAGAGAAAAAAAAAACATAATAATAACACGGGATTGATCGAATAAATTAGACAATTTTGTTGTGATTTAAACTGATCATTTTACTTTCACACTCATGTCATATTCATTCTTTTTACTTTTTTTTCCTCTTTTTATTATATCCTATTCGATCGATCGTGATGATGAGTGATATGTGTCCAACTTAATCTCTTTCTATAGAATGTTACTCATAGAAATTAAAAAACAAAAAGAGGAAAGAGGGATCAACATTCATTTTAAGTGGGTTCTTTCCTATCTGGAAGAATATAAAAGAATAGATCGTTAAAACTTATCTCTATACATGCAAAATAATTTTAATTATTATTCAATGTCTAAGTCGTTTGTTTATCATACTATCTAGATATTGTGTTTTTTTTTACAAACTTTCTCTAATTATTTTCTAGGAATGAACAGTCAAACATGATGATAAGCTACATGTAGAAAATAAAACGACGCCAATATTGACACAAAAATTGTGACATGACGTCGAAGCAAGTGCATGCATATATATAAAAGAGAGAGAGAGGGAGAGAGAAAAAATAAAAATAAGATGAATGAACAGCACGTTCGATTGCTTCGTTCGGCATGCCCAGTTCATCTACATCGGATGAGAGTGTGTGGGTGGGTATAGAAGAAAGAAAAAGAAGAATATAGAACCAATACTATCTATTTATTCAATGAATACTCCAGTGAATTGGGATAGCAAATAATAAAAATAGAAAAGATGAAAAGGGTATATCTTCACTTGAATAAAATTAAGGCAAAGAATATCCGGCAAAAAAACTGTCTATAAAACAGGCAAGCACTATTATTGAAGGCCAACTTCTAATAATATTTTGTCAATTAAATAAACAGAATCTGTCATATTGTAAAGGAAAAAGTCGATCGAAAGAAGAAGCTTTTGAAATGAGTCATTATTTCTTTCTTTTCGATTACTAATAATTGACATAGGCAGAAACGTCAAAAAAAGAAATTTTTCTTTTCTTTCTTGTTCATAAAAAAACACATGATCAATTATCATTTACTTACTATTCTTTGATTTGCTTGTCATTATTAATTTCACAAGTAGAATAATAGATCTATATTACCTGACACGAATGATCTATATCATATAGATAAACTTTTATCTCAATACCAGCATGTCCAGGTAAACAGCGAACCTTTGTATCTATTACAAGTCATTTTTCTTTGTTTTTCAATGACTCATATATCCGATATATCTACTGACATCTATTGCAAACTAAAAGAACAATGTAAAAACAGAAACAACAAAAAAACAAATGTCTAAGATTTTTTTGTTTTTGGAATATTCAATTTAATGACACGTATTTTCTTCTCGTATCTTATGATTGGATTATTAATTCTTCGTTATTTAGACACATTAAACAATTGTTTAGATATTGAGGAAAAAAAAAGAACATAGTATTGCAATAAGAATTAATTGTGAAATTCAAGTATGGAGGTCGACGATCTCACTGAAGAACAAAGCAATGCTTTATCTCGTTTTCGAGTATAATTATTTCCTTTAATTAAATCTATCTATTTATATATATATATATCTATCTTCAGGAATTTACGCATATAGATTCCGTTGAAACATGTCGTCAATATTTAGCTGCACATGACTGGAATGTTGAAGGTGCTATAGAAACTGCAATAATATCCGATTCTGATCTTCCATCAAATATAAATGATACAAATGAATTATCAGCTGATGTTGTACCATCAGCACCACCAATGCCCGAACCATTTTTAGATGAATCAACCACAGAAAGATTTATACCGAATACATTACCGACTAATCATGATACACAAAATCCTTTTTTGTATGGATTCAAAATAGTAAAGAAAATAAGTTAATCAAATTGTTTTGTTTCAATATTTCTAGACGAATATTACTTATACCATTATCATTTGTATATGCTTTCTATACAAAAATTGAACGATTTATACCTTGGACAGTCATTCGTTTTATTTTTTCATTCGGTAAAAAAGAAACAATCAAAATAAAAGATTTCTTTTATTATTATTATTTATTTAAAATTTAGTTCAATCATTAGTATGGAGTGGTAGACCAATAGATCCTGTAAGAGAAATAGATGAGTATTGTACTTATTTTGATAATCAATATGGTCCAAACCATCCACCATTTTATCGTGGAAAACTTTCTCACGTAAGTTTTATTAATTATTTCATTTCTCTTTTAAATGACTTTCTTTTTTTTTTAAATTTATTTTAGGCACTTCGAGATGCACAACGTGAAGTTCGTCTATTATTTATTTATTTGCATGAAAAAAATTCACCTTTGTGTGATCGTTTTTGCAGGTAAATTGATACATACATATTTATAATAATTACAAATAAAACGAGAAATGTTTGTAACATTTAAAACGTATATTAGCTTTGTAAAAAAGAAAAGAGGAAGGACATCATTTCTAACCTACACTTTGTTTACTAATATTACAGGATTAAGAATATAGAAAATAGATTATTGTCCTTACTGAGCGATTTTGCACTTTTTAACCCAACGATATGTTGATTTCCCAGCAAATGATATTGATTAAATCAAACACAACAGCATGTGAGGCAAAGGGCAAGACGACCAGTTCTGAAGTACAATATGTTAAAAGTGGCGCTACTTTAGATGAATTGTACTTGACAGCTGGAAATCTTGAATAAAGGTAACATGTGAAAAATGAATGTTTTTTTGTCACATGAAATGGTTACGTAGATGTTTTTGCTAGTAGACAATAATTGATATTTTAAATTTATGGAAAGGGTTAAGAAAAGATAAAAACTATATTCATTGTGGAAATCGTCGCAGATATAAATCGTAAAATAAGGAAAACTTGTATGGATTATGGAAATGTTTTAAAGCAAGTATTACTTGCGCTCGTGTAAGACGTCATAATCACTTAGAACAGTTTACTAAACATTTATTTGTATACTCGTATCTAACATTCATTGTTCTTGAATAGGTTGTTAATTATTTTCATATAATGTTAATAGAAGTTTTGTTTTGACAATTTTATTTTTTTGTATTGTGACTAATTGTCTTTCGAGTAATGATCGTAGGTGTCATACCTAATCTTATCGTCGCATATTTAAAAGCGGATTGTAAGATGCTTTCATCAGTTTACTCAAATTGATAAAAAGACTCTAGTAACTTCACTCTTTATACGTTGGATCAAATTTCCTGTTCATATAAAATCATAGTTCGAACTCATTTTTATGAGCCATTGAAAAAGTAACATATGATTCATTGGAAAGAAATGTAAGAATGAGACGTTTCACAAAGCCTAGAAGTATAAAATTTCGTAAATAATCCTAAGCATGTCTATGCATTATAGCAGAATATTAGACCTCAATATGCAACTTTTAGGAGGGCTGGACTGAAAAAATTTTCATAGTTATCATATACAGTGGGGGCCAATTGAATTTCCCCCCTTTGTCTTTTTTGTTTTTTATTACTATACTTCTTTTGTTTATTAACCCACTATATATAGGGAGAAAGCCCGGAACACGCTGCATCTTTTGGTATATTTATGCTGAACACCAAATGCATTTTTAAGTGTAAAAAGTGTATTAGACAAAAAGTAAAATTCTTTTTACTGCAAGACTGTGTGCCCATAATGTTATAAGGTTTTTTATTTCGCACATATCTCGGGTTAGGTAAATGATAAAACCTTGAATTCTTTTCCAAAAGATGCGTCTTGAAAAGCTGTATAAAAACTGTATGATTGAGTTCCTGTTCTAATGGTTTTCTAATACTCAAAATGAACAACCTACATGAGTGTCACTTCGCATCATACTGAAAAAGTTTCGCAGACTTTTTTCATTCGCTATAGGATGTGGTCGATATAACTTTTGTAGAGCTTTCGACGGCACATCTTTTAAAGAAAAAATCAATATTATACCGCTTTCTCAAGTCGAGATATATGCAGAACAAAA